ATCACAGGACACACACACTCACACCAGGGCCAGTCCATCACAGGACACACACACACACTCATACCAGGGCCAGTCCATCACAGGACACACACAGACACACAGACACTCACACCAGGGCCAGTCCATCACAGGACACACACACTCACACCACGGCCAATTTTCCCAGAAGCCAATTACCCCATCAGCATGTCTTTGGAGGGGGAGGAACATGGAGGTGTTCAAAGGCATCGAGGTTCCAGTCAGGGGAGCGGGTGGCCAGGCCCGGTCCATTATTAAAGACTATTACATATATCTGTGGAGAATAGGGAGGGAGCAGAAAATCAGAGGAAAATAGAGGGAATAGGACCGTGTCTCAGATCCCTGTGACACTTGTAAAGAAAAAATGGCATTTTTCATGTTTGGTAGCAATTCAAAATGATCTGTGAGCTATAGATATAGAATGTAATTAATATCAATTACATTGGCTTTGTGACCTTAACTAGATGTGTGCATACACTATACTGCCTTTGGTATATAAAATACTGTAAAATTTTTCCTTTTCAGGATTTTCTGTATTTATTTGTGAAAAGGAACTAAAGTTCTTAAAAATCGAATCGCCTGTCTTTGGGCTGTTTCGAGTGCGGTGTAACTGGGGGAATGGCTCCGGAAAACCTTCTCAAGGGCACCAGTTCCTGCATAATCAGTAAATAAGCAGTGCCAACGAGTGGTAGCTCTCATTTCTGTGCACCTCAAGGTCACGCTGGTTTTGATCACTGTCCCTTGCCAGGTTCTTTTAGCTCATATCCTGCTTCTGACACAACGCTTGACCTCCCGGCTCCTGCCCGTACAATAGTGAGGTCGGAATGAAAGATAAAAGAGATTTTTAGAAATGTCATGACCTACTGAATGTCTGCTGGTATTCCACTCCAAACGCTTCTGGGTTTAATAAGAGATTCTGCCATTCAATTCCAAGTCAATAGTCTTCTATAAGTTCTATATCGCCTATTCACCCCTCAGCGCACATTCATGCTGTTTTTTTCTGCTTCATAAATTATTAATTATATTAATGACATCTCATGATTCATTTTGGGGGGGGGGGTACGTTTCCATTTTACTGTCTGTGTGGAGTCTGCATGTTCTCTGTGTGGTCACGGGGGGTTTCCTCCCCCCAGTCTAAAGACATACTGGAAGCTGAACTGGCTTCTGGGAAAAATGGCGTGCGTGTCTGTTTGTACCATTGCTTGCTGGGATAGGGTCCGACTACCCTGCGACACTGTATTGGATAAAGTGGTTGGGAAAAGGGTGAATGTTATAACATTCTTTACCATGTGATTTGCTTTCACATGGTAAACTATAGTGAATACGTATAAGGGTACCAAATCAAATGATCAAATGGATTTAACCCTGCCGAAATTCAGAAGAAGGGATGGAAACATACTGTATTTAAGGTGAACCTTATTTGGCTGTATATTTTAAAGGTGTTAGCACTTTTCTCCTCAGTGTCACCATCTCTTAATATCCATAAGAAGGACCAACGCTTTTATTTCCTGAATTCTCCTCATTTCTGTTTTTTTTTTCATCATCGGTAACTTTTTTTATTTCACAAAATATAGGGCAAAACGGAAAAACATCTGGTCATCAGCAAGATGAACTACAGCGTGTAGGAGATGTTTCTAGATGTACGCTGGTGTTTGTTTTTGAAACGTTAAGACCTAAAATGGGGGGAAACTCTTTGGTTTCTAGGTCGACATACCAGCCTCTGTAGCTGGATCCTAGACTTCCTCACCAGCAAAACCCCTGACTGTCAGGTTTGGCAAGCTCACCTCCAACACGCTCACCCTTAACACCTGCGTGCTCAGCCCACTGCTTTACTCCCTGTTCACACACGAGTGTACTGCTAAGTTCAGCACAAACACCATCGTCAAGTCTGCCGACGATACCACAGTCGTAGGCCTCATCACCGACGACGATGAGACTGCCTACAGGGAGGAGATGAAACAACTTGCAGACTGGTGCCGAACCAACAACCTATGTCTCGACATCGGCAAGACCGAAGAGCCGATCATTGACTTCAGGAGACAAGGAAAAGTCCACTCCCTCCTCTACAATCGAAGGGACTGTGGTGAAGAACTTCAAGTTCCTAGGTGTTCACATCTCTAAGTACCTCACATGAGCGCTCAACACCTCCAGTCTCATCAAGAAGGCACAACAGCGGCTGTACTTCCTGAGCAGGCTGAAGAAAATCCGCCTGCATCCACAGATCTTCGCCAACTTCTACAGATGTCCGGTGGAGAGCGTACTGACCAGCTGCATCACAGTCTGACCGTCAGGCCCTGCAGCGGGTGGTCAAAACTGCCCAACACATCATCGGCAGGGCCTTACCATCCCTCCAGGAAATCTACAACGCCAGGAGTCTGAACAAAGCCACCAAAATTACGTCTGACCCCACTCACCCCAGTCATAACTTGTCTGTCCCCCCCCTACCGTCTGGTAGAAGGTTCCGGACGCTCCAGTCGCACACAACTAGACCCCAAAATAGCTTCTTCCCCAGAGCCGTCAAGCTGGTGACGCCCCCACTCCCTCCCATCATGCTATCATCTCTCCTGACTTCCTCCTGTACCCACAGTGACTGTACTCCAACACCACTACATACACGACAACTGAATGTCAGCCGAAATTGTACTTAAAACTGTACTAGTTATTAATCACTGTATTATTTTTGCACGGTTCACCGAATTACTTTTGCACTGTTTTTGTCCTGTTTGTATACTTTTCTCTGCTTTCATATTTGCACAGTTTTTGACGATTTTGCACTGGCGCCATACTGTTGTTCACACTGTTATTGGTATTGTATTTCTGTCTACTGTCTTGTCTGCTGTTCTATATTTATATACTGCACCTGAGAGACTAATGAGCAACACTTTTCACTGTACTGTGCACCCGTGTACATATAATTACAAAGTTGAATTGAATATTTAGATGTACTGTAGTTTATGATCAGCAACAATTTACTGAAAGCCACCAGTCTTGTTTTTTTTTTTAACAACTTTGTAATTAATACCGCTTTTATTAGGGAGAGGATAAACAAAGCATTAGCCATCTTCAATTCCCACTGACCTGAACCTCCGAGACGTTCATGATTTCGCAGTGTTACCCTCTCCACGTCCATTAAGCGAAAACGCTAGCCTTTGTGCTAGGAAACAGATTGATCACGGTTTACTGTTACCTGAAAACAAAATCGGTTCCAAACGCAGAAAGAAGATGGCCTTCGGAGAGTGTTTCTGCACAAGGGAGGAAAACACGCAACAGAAGCGAACAAAATGCACAATGTCGAAGATTAATCAAGACGTTTCTACGGATTTTATTCCGACTCCGAGGAAAACATTGGGAGTCATACCCTCACGGGCTTTGAATGTTTTGTGAGGGGAAAAAAATAGTTTACTCTGAAACTGAAATAAAGGTATCCCCTGCTATTTAGAATAGGGGAGGGTGGTTTATTTTAAACAAACACTTTTCGGGGGTGTCGTTTAATTCCAGCGGGCGGCCTGAGACACGAGATCCGGGATGTCCCGGAGAACAACGTCCTGTAACAATAAATAAATAAACGGCAAGTTTTAAGCTTCCCGGAGCGCCCTGGGCTCGGATCTGGGCTGTCGGTCAAAGACAAAAAAACACGTCTCGATAATGTGCGTGTTCTGCGCAGGTACCTCTGCTACCTTTACAGTTTACACCTGCTCGGAGGTGGGGTAAAAAAACAACAACAACAACAACAACACAACACGTTTGTGCAGCAGGACAATTCAAGCGGGCGCTACTATGAGCTGCAGGAGGGGAGTTCTTCAAGCTATCTGAATCGCAGGAAGGAAACATGATCACCAGCCGGCTCAACCTCGGCTGCGGGAATGGGATGCACCCGGAACTGTGCTCTGCGGTGAAGTTACACGGAGGGCCACCTGGCGTGGGTGCGTGGTTACCTGTGCGCGTCTCACCTGCCCCGGCCCCGCTGCGCGTAAACTTCTCTTCACTTGGAGCAGGATGTGAGGCGTAAGCGGGCTGGAGACCGCGGTGAGGGCAAGCAAACAGACCGAAAAAAAAAATGGCGTCTCCGGTACAACTTGGCCGGAGCGAACTTTTGGAAATCGACATCTGCGCTGGTCGGGGCTCCGGGGGGGAGGACGGCGGCTCCCCCCCGGCGGACGGCTTCTCGGCGTTTCAGCGGTGGGTCCCCGCCAGGCGGAAGACGGTCCGGGAGTCCAGCCAGCGGGGAGAAAACGAGGGGTTCCCCGCCGAGCAGAACGGGACGCCCGCAACACGCCCGAGCCCGACCCAGCCCCGCAACGGCGAGGTGCGGGACGCTGCGGAGCCCACCTGGACCGGACCCTGGCCGGACCGCGAACTCGAACGGGCCGGGCCCGCGCGTGTCCCCCGCACCTCCATAGTGGACTGCCTTCTCGTGGAGCTCTACGACACGTACTCCGGCTCCGGAGGGAAGAGCGCGGACAGCGTGGACAGCTCGACCGAAGCCTCGAGTTCCGATGCCTTCCTGGGCCGGAGCAACACCGGCTCGAACTTCCTGCTGGAGCTGCAGGAGAAGCACACCCGGCGACACCAGATGAAGTACCTGGCCCAGAAAGGTATCGTATCGTATGTAGGTTTACGTAACAATCAGGACCGACACCTTACAGAGAAGGAACAAGTAATAGGTTTATTCCATGCTGAAAAAAAAAGAAGAAAGAGAACACAACGTTTCGGCCGTGGAGCCTTCTTCAGGTGTCGCCTGACACCTGAAGAAGGCTCCTGAAGAAGGCACAATAACAGACTCCAGGAGTCTGTTCTCCTGGATGAGCTCTGTTTTCAAGGTCCCCGGTGTCGTTTTGTTTGACACCTGAAGAAGGCTCCACGGCCGAAACGTTGTGTTTTCTTTCTTCTTTTTTTCAGCATGGAATAAACCTATTACTTGTTCCTTTGCAGCCTACGCATGCTGACGCAGCTCCCCACCTGAACTACAACCTTACAGAGAAGCCTATTGAGTCTCCCTTTCAATTTTACTGTTCATAACACGAAATACCAGCGCTGTTGGATTTTATTTTAATGCAACGCCATTAAACAGCTGCGAATTTGTTTTTGCCCAAGCACTTTTCATACATATCATGCTGAAGGTTGACTCATACAGGTGATATCGCGGCTTGCACACGGCCGTTCAAGTCGAGTCGCCAGGTGAGAATTTTTAGCAGCTGGTATTGAAACGGGCGAGTCTGTTCTCCTGGATGAGCTCTGTTTTCAAGGTCCCCGGTGTCGTTTTGTTTTTTTTACTTAAAGGGGATGTATCGGCCATTAATGACGTTGACAACGAGATTTCGGCTCTTGCAGCCTGAGCTAGAAATTCCTTTTTTTTTATTTTAGGTTAGAAGCTTTGTACCACTTCATTAGTGGCCTAACCTGCACAGATAAGAATGGCCCGTTTTGCGACAGCATATATGATATGGGGTGTCATAGAGTAGAAGCACAATAATTAATTGCGGTCATCAATATTTCCTTTTAATGCGAAGTACAAAGTCAAAACGTTTTTAATACTTTAAATACTTTTTACACCCTCCCTATATTAATTCAGTGTGCATGCATTACACCAGGTTAACTGTACGATAAAGAGTCTGATTGATAAGCGACTTGTGTTGGAAAGGCGATATAGTGTTCTAGTAATTGGTCTTAAAGTTTTGTGATTTGGATATTTTGAATCACCTTGAGGGCAGCAGGGGTCAGTGTTGCTGCCTCCGAGTTTTGGGGCCCTGGGTTCAATTCCTTGACTTGGACTTGGGGTGCTGTCTGTGTGGAGTTTGCGTGTTCTCGTGTGGTCCTCCAGGTGCTCCGGTTTCCTCCCACAGTCCAAAGACATGCTGGGTGGGTGGGGGGGTTAATAGGAATAGGTCCTGGTGAGAGAGTGCGTTGGTGTCTGTGTGTGTCCTGTGATGGACTGGCGTCCCATCCAGGGCGTATCCTGCCTCTGCGCCCGTTGCTTGTCAGGATAGACTCTGGCCCCCCATGACAATGAATTGGGTGAGGGAGTTGGGAAGACGGATGCGTGGATGTTCTCCAAGAAGTGAAAAAAGAAAGCAAGGTGTGGTTGAAGTGTATTACTAATGTCTGGAAAATGGACAGATGGATTTCCTCAAGTCCTTGGAATGAGTTGCAGCTGAGTGTTTTTTTTTTTTCTTTCTTCTTCCCGCCCTGTGGCCCAGACACGGAGGAGCTCAAGTGGATCGTCCAGGAGGTGAACTATCGGATTGGGATCCAGTCCGCGAAGCTGGTCAGACAGCTCAGGAGGAAGGACAGGCTGTACCACAAGCTCCAGAAGAACAGTGACATTGTAACAGCGTGCTTGCAGGCCGTGTCCCAGAAGAGGCGTAAGTAGTTATTTTTTTATGTTTGTTAGCCAAGATTCTTTCCAAAATCGAAGGACCAGCTTACTTTCTTCTTCAGAATTTGCTTTGGAGGCTGTAAAACCAAATGTAGAAGCTAGTGGCGCTGATCACAGAGGCAAACGTTTAATGTTATACACTGAAGCCTCTGCACAAGCAGCACATTGTAGTAATGAACACAGTTCATTTCACTGATACTTTTGTGAAGTATTGTGAATTTGAGATCATTCCCATGTTGATAAAAAAGGGGCCAAAAGGATAGAATGAGGTATTTGTAATTCTGAGCTCATCCTTGTAGCCCAATTTGATTCAAATGTCCCTTCACCTCAGCATAGAGATAGCGTACCTGAGAGAAACGCATTAATAGCAGATGCAAATGTGTTATTTGGTTAGCACGCTTATCTTTGCTCTGGCCTTTTTTTTTTTTTTCCATGGGTTAATGGATTGTGGCTGTCACGGGGTCAAAGTTCAAGGTGAAAGGTCACAGGTTAAATGATCTAACCAAACGACTTCCCACAATGTAACAGCATGGCAGCAGCTGCCTTCTGTATCCTTCTCTGGTTGAGGGACACAGAAGGCCGCTCATCACTTGGTCTACTCCAGCTCCTGCTCTTGTAAACTAACATACGAGCCATGCTGTGTCAAGGGTTCTCTGTTGTTATACAATACATTTTTCAAGCATAAAAAAAAAATCGGGTTCTCCCAGGCTGGCTGTAGGAAAGCTGTAGGAAAATTGCACATCAGTTTGTCCACAAATCAATGTGCTCCTGTTCCTCGCCGCAAAGAGACCTGACCCCAGTAACCTCTTTAAAATCAGCCGGGAGAATTCTCCCCAGATGGGAGTGGTTCAGCTGAGCATTCATCGAAGAGACAATCTGAAGCAGCACAGCACAGAGGTGTATATATTGCCGGGGTGGAGTGGTGGCTCTGTGGCTCAGGATCTGCACCTGTGACTGGGAGGTTGCCGGTTCAAATCCCGCAGCCGGCAGAGGAATCCTACTCCGTTGGGGCCCCTGAGCGAGGCCCTTCACCCCAGCTGCTCCAGGGGCGCTGTATAAATGGCCGACCCTGCGCTCTGACCCCCAGCTTCTCTCCCTCTGTCTGTGTGTCTCATG